ATTTTTTTTTCCTATTTATATATGTAAAATTGTAGTGTATTTCTTTTCACCAAACAGTGTGTGGGACATTCTTAATCACTGTTTAAGGATCACCTCAGGAAGTGTCATTATCCAGAATTCCTCACTCTCTGCTTTGAGACTTGTAACTTTATCACTATATTTCTGCTTGGTGCCATCTTGTCAGAGTAATATTTGATGTCTGTGATATGTAAAGAATTATCCTAGGATAGAGGTTTTAAATTTCAAGCACAGATCTCAGATGTTACTGCTTTAAAACAAATCAGGGATAACAAGTTAAACTTAAAAAAACTTAAAATATGCAATGACATTTAGAGGTAACCGATGTTGATATAGGTAAGATAGCCTAGCCTCCTCTCGCAAATTGCTTTCAGAAACAACTATGATTTTTAGGATAGTTCATGCCTTATCCTTGATAAGAAAGTGGAATTGATGGTAGGTAGGTGCCAAAGTGCTTTTCAAAACAATATTGTATCAGAATATAATTGGATTGTTCCTCAAATTTATATAGGCCAAAGTAAAACAGTAATTTCCTGAATTTCTAGATTACTGACCAATAAATAGCCAGTATTACACTATGTACTTTAGTCAGGTCATTTTAAAATCCATACATTGATTTTATAAAAGAATTTTTTACATGTCACTATCAGGAGTTCACTGTGAATGTATTATCTTCAAATGGCTATTTAACCACACAGTACACTACATTTTACATATAATGTGCACTTAATCTCTGGGAATAATAAATTATATAATTTATAAATAATGCATAGGTCAACAGACTCTAAAGCAGGGAGGAAAGAAGAGTAACAGCATTGTTGTCTGTGTGCCACACACCATGCAGAACTTTGTGCTCTTGGGTCTCATATGTACCCAAGTTTTCACTGTATTCCTAAGAATTCCCTTTTCAATGTTGAGTTCACCTCTTTATTTCAAAAAGGACCTGACATCTCAATTGATTTGGTTTAACTTCCACTTTGAAACTAATCAAGATGGGAAACTGACAATGTTCACACATGGAAATTGTCAATCTCCTAAAGACTAAGTTCTACCTGTTCTAAACATTTAATCTCATTTTTAAAAGTAAGAAAAAAGTCAAAACAAAAACAAGGAGTATTATGATGAATGTTTGGCTTATGTGAGCACTAGTGATAAATTTTATAAGATCAGTTATTCAAGATAGTTTTCTCTTCATGTTAGAAAAAATTTTTAGAAATCCTGGGTATTGTACTTAACTCTAGCTAACCAACTTTAAGACTTGTATCCTTTTGAAAACTATATTAATAGAAAAACACTTTTTATAAGCAGTAAAATAAGAATGTTCCAATGACTACCTGTCCTGATACCTAATCTTGTTAAAACTTTCATTTGCAGGGCATTTTCATGTTTGGTTTACAGTCAGCATAGAGTGGGCAAGCTTACAAAAAGTTTGAGCTAGGGATACTGAAAAAAGAAAGATCAAAGAATGAGAAAAACGATGACTTCTTTGTTTGGGGGTGAACTGAGACCCCAATAATTTTTTCCTCATGTGTATGGTGCTCCTTACGATTCGTCTTGTATTTTGCCTTTCTGATACACATCAGAACTGCTGCTCTAACTTCCACTCTTTACCTTGCCCAAATCTCCATGTAAGGAATGCTTTATGATCAACTGCCATAGGACTGATGGATTAACCAGTGTTTGGCTTTATTCGAAGTCTTTGCCCTGCACAGCTCTTGTATGTATTTTAGATGCTAGGAAGTTTTTAGCATGTGAAGTGTGACTCTTGTTTGAATGTTTATTACAGGTACCTTGTGAATTCCAGAACAGAGACTGTGCCTCAAAATTGTTGGTCCCATGAACTTGCACTATCTTTCATGGTGATGTTTTGAAAATATAATCAGGAGAAAAACCCAACAAGTTTGGAATTTAAAAAGAGAATCATCTACATAAAATTTAAAAAGAACCTTTTTCTTCCTCCTTTCCTCAATCCTAAGTAACAGCTACATTTAAGTAAAATGCAGGCAGGTAGGGGAAAAAATACCCTGGCCAGATGATAAGTTTAAGTGGAATTAAACTTCCTATTTAAAAAAAAAAAAATGCTTCTCCACAAATATTTTCCAGTTTCTCTTTTTTAACTTTTTAAAAAATTACTTTTTAGAAACATTTGGTATAATGTGCATAAAATTATTTACTGATTTATGGGCAAAATGATACAAGTAGCATCTTGATTAAACATCATTTACCTCAGATATTCAACCAGCAGTACATTTTTTACGCAGTCTCAATCCATATCCTATTTGTTACCTCTCAAAATATTGGTAAGCAATTATTTTAGCTTTACTCTGTAATTCTTGTCAGTGTTTTGGGCACAGGTTGTTGTACTACTGTCAAATTGTACTTGCTATTTTTTTCTGCAAGTATTTAACAAAAAGCTAAAAAAAAAAAAAAAAAGCCCCTAAAACTCCACCTTAAGTGATTGTTAAATATTGTACAATAAAATGTATGCTATCCCCATTCCATCCTCGAGTTAAATAAAAAAATGAATATGGTATATGATTTGCTTATGCAGTTTTTCTTTAGCTATACATTTTCCTTCAAGAGGGGAACAGTAGCTTTGTCATTTATGATGAGGCTCACACCTTGAGAAATGGAAGAATGGGGATAGTGGTGAAAGTTTGTAAAGGGTTGACGTTTCCCCCCCCTTACTACCCAAGACTGTATTCACAAAGTATGTATGTTAGTCTTGCCAGTTTTAGGAAACCAGAGGCTAGCAGGCATTAGTTACCTTCTTTTCATAGGGAAATAGAAAGATGTGGCTTAGGAAATAGTCATCAAAGATACAAACCACACTTCCTAAGGATGTTAACTAATTTACTAACTCAGTGGAAGAATTCTGGTATTTTCACTTAGGGTGATCAGTAAGCGCAATTGTCAAGGAAACTAGCTTTCATTTATATTTTTAATGTTGCCAAGGCTTTTGTTTATCCTATGGCTTTTAAAAGAGGGGATGGAAAGCCCCATGGTGGGAGCTGTGTTACAGTTCACACCAATGGGATTCTCAATATATTTTAAGGTAAAGGTGAAGGAAAGAACAACGCTTAAGTAACAGTGGTTTAAAAGAACCTGCACTGGCTTCTAAACCTCGTGAAAATGAAAACTGTGGTGGAATATGCAGTGAATCTTTATAGAAAGACTGAAATTGCTTTCCACATCATGTTCTGCAAAATGAATTCTTTGGGAAGTTAATACATAGTATATACTCAACATACATAGCATTAAGATACTGTATGTTTGGACCAGCAAGTTTTAATTCCTCAGAGCCAATCACATGCATGTGCACATGAACTAGAGAAGAAGATCCTGTTTTGGATAAGGTACTTGGAAGGGTCACATGAGTCGAAACTGCACTGAAGCCTCTAACACTCTGTTTTGCTAACCTTTTTTCTAATTTAAGAATTGCTTCAATGAAAATGAAAACCCACCCTGCTACTTATAGTCTTACAATCTGTATACTGGGTGTTGATGGATCTTCTGCAGTTCTTCTGTAACCAGGAAGGCAGATGAGAGCTTTCAGCCTTTTAGTGGCAATCTTAGGCTAGTGAATTGCAATCCTGAAATCAAGTTCTTTAGATGCTTTCACAGTGAGTGCATTTAAAACAGATAATACTTCCTTAAAATGGCTCAGAAAATTTTTTTAGAGAAAAAACTTAAGCTCATGTGTAAAATCCTTGCTTCCAGTAATAGTGATGCTACCATGCTAAGTATTTTGGCAAAATATCCCCTAAAATCTGTAGACTATTGCATAGAACCAGTATGCAAGCCTTACCTTTACTGAAACACTGCTGAAAAGTAAATGACAGTGATCTGAAGACTTAGAAGGCAGGGAAAGAACAGCTACATCTGCAAAAAAATAGGCTGAACTGAAGAGCTACTTTTTACACACAAATATTATAGTCCATTCTATACCTGACACTTCTTAAAAAACCTGGTAAATAATTTCTTAGAGCATACTTTAAAAAAAAAAAAATACGGCAAGAACCTGTTAAGGAATTTAATCTCTTGACAGTGGGGCTTTGGTGTCAGTCAAACCTGAGTTGAATTCCAGAGTGTGTCAATCATTCTTTACCTGTGTGATTCTGAACACTGCCACTAGTATGTCAGTTTTTTCTCAACTGTAAATAACAGTCCCTGAATATCACAGGGCACTTGATAGTTAAAAGGATTATGAAATACACAAGGACAGGGACTGTCTTTTGAAAACATTATGCAATCAAATGTTCTTGAATAAATGAAAGTCACTAACACTTAGCAACTGCTTATTAAATTTCATTTTAAACAGGTACCTGAAATAGTTCCCGGACTCCTAAATTTATAAGGTGAGCATTCTACATTGCCTTTAGGGATTTACTTTTTGATACAAGTTAAGTTTAGTCAATAGTGCCAAACACTTACCATTAATTGCGGGAATGTTTTTCCAGGCATTTCCTAAAGTCCCTGTTAAAAAGACAAATTCTGATCCTTTGGGCCTATGACAGGCCCAAGAATTTGCCTTTTAAATAAATAAATAAATAAATAAACCAACATTTCACGAAATCTTTAATGAAATGGAAAGAATTTGCCTTTTTAAAAATTCTACAAGGGATTCTTCTATATGTGATAAGATTAAGTACCACCTTTTGAGAAGGAATTCTGGAAGAAATTCGTATTCAAACTTTTCACCTTTTTCTTCCGTGTGAACGATCTTCTGGCCAAACTGGTCAGCCTCCTGAACTAAAAGACCTGGGTCTGGGATAGACCTGGGATTTTCTATCTCCATGGATAGAAAAAAACAAAACAAAAAAAATGTGGAACCTCCCAGTAGACCAAAAGATTGCTCAGTACACCTCAACTCTTACCACTGTTTCTTTACTGCTTGAAGATTTGTAAAAACACTTGGCTGCTGGGTTGAAATGAACTCTTCAAATATACCGCATAAGTACTTGACAAGTGTTAAATAAGCATATGGTTCACTCCCTAAAACAGTCACATTTATTTCTTTGAACTGCTACTTACAACATAATCTAAAATCACTGAAATTATAAATCATGTAACTGCTCATGATTCAAAGGCAAGACACAGCCAAGACACTACATGTGTAACAGTCTCCCATAAATACAAAAATACATGTTTATAAATATAAGAAAATGTAATAACATATCTTGTTAAAGGACAATAGCTTTGAGTTCCTTACAGAAGTATGCCTGAAACTTTGTAACTGAAGCCACCAGTTATATTCATAACCAGCTTAGTGAGGATGTTGCCCACTGCCTAACATCGGTAGGACAGTTGGGGTATTTCTGCAAAGCATTCATAATTTGAGTATTATCCAAAAGTAGTTTCATCAGCTGGTACTCTCTCTGTGTATTTACCGAAGTCCTTTCCACGGGCCTTATTAATTCTAATTGTTGTAAGTGTTCAAATGCCTGGAAGATGAAAGAAATAGTTTAGGTTGAATAGGAGAAGTAAAATAATAACATTAATCCAGAGAACAATTAGGGTTGCTGTTAACCGTAAAACAGAGTGCCAGGAAACAAAACTTAACAGAAATCAGTAGGGATCAAAAACAACTCTCATCAACCTCATAAGAACTTCATCTATCTATCAGGTGAAGCACTATCAATATACAGTTATCTGTCCCTGCATTGTTGAATGTGAACAGGGCAAACTCTAATTCAGTCTACCTAATATGGTTTTTCTTCCAATCCTCATTCTGTACCATATCACCTGCTTGTACTTAAGGGAAGGGCTTCTAGTTCTCTCTATAAAAACTGAACAACTAATAAGACCAGTACTTTTAACTAATTATCTAGGTGATTCAAATTTGCATTTACAATCTCTTTCTAGTTTTTTTTTTTTTCTCTTTCTAGTTTTGTAAGACTTTGCTATATAGAAGTTTAATGCAGCTGCAAAAAAAGCTAGAGGCAGAAAACCCCCTAGGAGTACACCAAGCCTGTTTGGCCGACCCTATAAATAAATGATTCAGCGGAGTGGTATGGGCATGAAGGAAAGAAGACAGGCTCCTTTTTCCCTAAGAAGTCTGCAGAGCATGCCACAACCTGTCAAAAATTCCCTTTCTTCCATCTTCCCCCCCTTAAAAGGGTTGTTTACGGTTTCCTCTCACCTCAAATATTCATGTATTATGTCATTTCTAACCCTGATTATTGTTTTAGGTATTTTATTAGCATATCAAAAAAAGGAAACCATTAAATCATGACATAGTAACCATTAAAATATTGACAGAGTGAAATAGATTCTGGACCTTTCTATTCTTACAACCACATTGTAAAAAATATCACTGGAATATATTCTTTATGTATCATAAAAAGTCTGATGAAAAGAGAAATAGACACCATTCATTTCTAAAAATGAGAAAATACTGGAGGAATACTGAAGCTGTAGGTATTATTGGGGCAGAATAAAACTGAAATTTAAAATATTTCTAGGCAGCAAAATACTTTAAAATACAGAATGACCAGGTACAAAATACAAATCACTTAAGTATTTAAATGTTCATGTAACCCTTTGTATTCATACAACCTCCACAAACTATGACTATCACACAGACATGGACATTAGGAAGGAAAAAAAAAACACTTCAGTAGGATAAATACTTTCCTTGTTGTTCTGAAGAAAGGGTAATGCCCTGTACTCACATTTTTTATTTGGTACAAGAAACAGAATTCTGACCACTAAAGCCTATAAAGGCTGATAAAAGACTTATGGGTCCACTGCTGGAGGGGAGGGGAGGGAGGGGTAGGAAAATGCAGGGGGGAGGAAGGGAAGGGAAAGAGAGAAAAAGAAAGAGAAAAAGAAAAAGAGGAAGAGGGAGAGGAAGGGAAGGAAAGGAAAGGAAAAGTGTTTTTCCCCATAAAGTCCTCCAGAGCTGCGCAGTCCAGCAAGGTAACCACAGAGGGCTACTATTATTCGTGTAACTTGATTTTTAATTTTATTTAAGTTTATTAATTATTAAGTTTAACTTAAAATTTGATACTCAAATCATTTAGAAAATTTTAAGTTAGTGGAACAATTGAGAATGTACATCTACTTCAGCTACAAATTTTATGAAATCTAAAGAGCAAGTAATTCCAATGAATTCTTAGTGAATTAAGTATAAACACATGAAATTTCAAAAAATACAAAAGAAAATGAAGTATTTCATTAGTAATTTTCTGTATCAATTATAGATTAAAATGTTTTTGGTATATTAGGCCAAATAAAAATTATCATTAAAGTTAACTTTGCCTTTTTAAACTTTTTTGCTGGTACTAGAAAATCCAAACTTAACACTATGTGGCTCATATATTTCTAGTGGACAATGGTTTCTAATGAAGTTCCTCAAGTTTTAAACTCATGACTTAACCAACCCCTAATAAAACTTTATATGTCCTCACTAGCCCATACTTTATCTTTTAGTTTTTTAATGGCTAATATCTGCATTTTTTCTTTTTTACTGCTACGATTATAAAGCCAACCCCTGGGTTGTAAAGGGACAGAATTTTACTGATGAACTGCAATGTATAGTTCTTTGTATAATGCAGTGCTAGAAATGGACAGTAGAGGGCAGTATACTTCCACAAACTGGGAAATATTGGGCTGCTTTAGAATTATTCAAACATTTTGAGATTAATTTTTGTCTACCATACAAAAAAATTTCTATGATAAATACCTAATGTTTCAAAGTTAGTAAGAGTTCAAATATGACATATACAATCAAACTGGATGTAAAAATCTACCTGTATTCAGAAAAATAACAGTCAACTTAAATCTTACCTTCATGACAACAGGTTTTTCAAAATTATAAACAGAATGGGCTTTCCTTTGAACAAACTTCTGAAACTCTGGATAGAAAGCAATAACAACATTAACACCCTCAAATAGGCAGTGAGGTAGAGTCAGAAAGAAACCAAAGTTTCATCTCACCATTATAGACCATTTGAAAATTAAAGGGCTCCTCTTCATAGATGTCATTTAAATGTTTCATTGCTATTATAAGACAGATTTCCAAGACTGACAGACCTATATAGTAAAAGGAAAACAAATTATGAGTTGTATGTTAACTTACTGATCCATAAGATTGAAATAACTGTCCTCCAAAGAGAATGATAAAGTGAAAGACCATTGTTCTGAGGGGTGGCAGGAGATCAAGACATCCCCCAGGTTCAAACTATCTTTCAGTCACTATTACTTATACAATCCTAAGCAAACTGCTCAACCTTTCTGGGCTTAGCTTTCATATAAGCAAACTAAGAATCTTCTTAAGCTTACAAAGATGTTATAAGGATTAGAGAGAGTATTATCAAGCACTGGTCACATGGCTCATAATAAACATAAACTGGCCCTTCAACTGTGTACTTTATATATTTTTAAAAATTTTATTTATTTGAGAGAGAGAAGACCAGGCTCCCCACTGAGCAGAGAGCCCGACCCAGGGCTCTTGAGATCATGACCTGAGCCGAAGGCAAACACTTAAGAGAATGAGTCACCCAGGTGCCCCTGCAATTATGTACTTTAAATCACATGGGGTCCTTGACTATTCATAGAAACCCTGAACACCTGGAAATTATATTTACATTTTTTTTCTAAAACAAGAAAATTCATTAGATTCTTCAACGGGAGAGTGAACCTTCAATGCTAAGGCTCTCTAGTGGCACCTAATGCAATGTGAACACCTGCATTACAAGTCTTAGCTGGACTTCCAATGTAACAAGGCAGGGAGAGCATCAGTATTCTTCCACTTTAAATGGGAGTCATAATACCTTTTGTGGGGCTTAGTTAAAGGCTACATGGATTTAAAAGTAGTCTGTATTATACCCAATGTTAAGTATAATTTTGAAAGAATTCCATTATGTTAACTTAAATTTATAAAAAACTAATTAAACAGGTGTCTCACCATGTACAATATTTGCTTTAGAGTCCATGCTACACAACTGGTTTGCCTCCATCAGATCTGCTGCAGTCATAAACGGGTGTGATGTTGTTACACGATTTAAAGCAAGCATCTAGGGAAATGTGGATCAGAAAAACATTTACACATTTACTTAGGCATTCTGGAGATATTACTGAAAAAAACTTCTTAATTTGGAGTCTATTCTTATGGGAGAGCTAATATTAATGCTTGGGAAAGGTATTCTCACACTTGGCTCTATTAAAATATAGTGTTCCAATACATATGTCATATAGGTCTATAAATGTAAAGCATAAAAAAGTTCTTGCTGCTCTACCTCTTCCTACTTGTGTACCTTACTTACAACTCCTCAAAAGAAAACACTTAAAAAGGAGTAGAGCAAGAAGAGATAAAAAATAGATAAGAATGCTGTTCAAAGGTTATTTTGATTTCACAGGAAAATAGAGTAGGGAAGTTACCTGAGCTCACTTTCTCCCATAGACACAAGACTGCAACTACATACAAAGCAACTCTGAGAATGCTCTGAAAACTAGCAGCTTAGGAGTGTGTCTGTGTGTGTGTGTATGTCTCTGTGTCTGTGTATGCAGCTAAAGATAATTTTAAAAAGCTACACCGAGAAGGGTAAAAAGAGGCAGAGATATGGTTGGGATAGGAACCATACACCGAGTGCAGCGATCCACAGCAGAAGGTGTGGAGGTCCTTCCTGAGGAGTGAGGGGTTCAGATCCCACACTGGGCACCCTCTGCCTTGGTTATCTGTACCAGGAAGACAAGTCCCTATAATGCATGGCTTCGAAAATCAGAGGGGCTTAATTCTGGGAGAGCCAGAGGGACTATAATTGGAGACTCTATTCTCATATGGCACATACACAATTTCAGTTGCTCAGAGGCAACAGTTTGAAAAACACCTGGGCCATATGGGAAGGTATACTTCACTAAGGCATACATAGTGCTGGAGGGACAAGGATCTGTAGGAGCTTTCTTTGGAAATGAAAGTGCTGGAAGCACTATTTTTCTTGTTTTCCTTCAGGAAAGCTAGTTAGATGCTTGTAAGAGCCAGTTGTGACACTATTCATCTGTCTCATTAGGACCACTATCCACGCCAGGGGAAATTCCCCTGTGGAACTGCACTGTATTAATCACCCACTAGGTAGGTATTCTTCCAAGTAAGTCCTACCCAAGGGAAGGGGAACCAACCCCACCCGCCAGCAAGCACACAAGAGTCTTGGTGGGATCTCACAATGAGCCACAGAGAGGCTACTCCCACCCACCTGCCCTGAGCAACCACAGCCGGGTCTCTCAGATACCTGGGCTGGGACCAGCTCCACACACTGGCGTGCCTCCAATAGTTGTGGTGAGGCATTGCTGCCATTTGGGTCAGGAACCAGCCCTGACAAATGTACCCTCAGCATTCGGGGCCCAGTGACAAGAGATGTGCAAGCAACCCACATAAAACAGCCCTGAAGCTCCAGGTCTAGTGACCCGAAAGGATTGTACTTCTGGGCTCCAGAGGATGCCTTCTACATAAGGCTGCTACTTCTAGGATCAAGAGATGCAGCTACCTAATATAAACAAACACTATATCAGACAAAATGAGGAGACAGAAGAGTATGTTCCAAATGAAAAAGACAAAACTTCAGAAAAAGAACTAACCAATGGAGTTATGTAAGCAATCTGCCCGATAAAGATGTCAAAATAATGGTCATAAAGATAATCACCAAACTTGGGAGTCAAGTTGATGAACTTAGTGAGAACAAGCAGATGAATTTAGTAAGAACTTCAATAAAGAGGTAAGAAATATAAAAAAGAATCAGTCACAGCTGAAGAATACAGTAAGTGAAATGAATAAATGATTAAAAGAAGAATGGATCAGCAATCTGGAAGACAAAGTAATGGAAAGGACCCAAGTTGTATGGCAAAGAGGAAAAATAATTTAAAAAATGAGAATATGTTAAGGGACCACTAGGACAACATCAAGCATACTGACGTTCACATTCTAGAGGTCCCAGAAGAAGAAAGAGAGTAAGGGGCAGAAAATTTATTTGAAGAAATGATAGCTGAAAACTTCCCTAATCTGGGGAAGGAAATAGACATCCAGGTCCAGGAAGTACAGGAAGCCTCAAAGAAGACAAATCCAAGGTCTACATGCACGATACATAATATTCAAAGTGCTGAAAGGAAAAAACCTACAACCAAGAATATTCTATATAGGAAGATTATTATTCAGAATTAGAGAAAAAGTTTCTAAGATAAAGTTTCAGAAATTCATCACCACTGAACCAGCCTTACAAGAAATGTTAAGGAACTTCTTTAAGCAAAAAACAAAAGGCCCTAAGAGGAAATTTAAAAATTACTAAAGAAAAATTTCATTGGTAAAAGCAAATATATAGTAAAAGGAGGAGAGTAATCAATTATAAAGATTGTAGGAAGATTAAAAACTAATAAAATCAACTATATCTTAGTTAAGGTATATCCTAAGTAAAAAGATGTAAAACATGAGATCAAATACATAAAGTATGAGAGTGGAAGGAGAGTAAACATTTAGTGCTTTTAAAATGATTTTCGTTTGTTTCTTATGTATGCTCAATGCCCAGTGTGGAGCCCAATGTGAGGCTTAAACTCATAACCCTAAGAGAGACCTGCCCCAGGATCAAAAGTTGGACATTTAACCTAAAATGCTTTTGATTTTAAGCAACTACCAACTTAAAATAGACTGCTAACATACAGTTGAACCTCATGGTAACCACAAACCAATTTAAAAGACGTACACAAAAAATAAAGAGAAAGGAATCCAAACATAATACTAAAGAAAGTCATAAAATCATAAGACAAGAGAGCAAGCGAAAAAAGGAACAGAAAAGAACTATAAAAACAAACAGAAAAAAATCCAAGGGCAATAAGTACGTACCTATCAATAACCACTTTTAATGTCAACGGACTAAGTGCTCCAATCAAAAGGCATAAGGTTGCTGAACAGATTAAAAAAATAAGACCCATCTACATGCTGCCTACACAAGACTCACTTCAGGCCTAAGGATACATACACACTGAAAGTGAAGTGATGGAAAAAGCCCATGCAAATGTGGGGGTGGGGGAAGGCCAGGGTAGCAATGCTTATACCAGGCAAAACAGACCGTAAAAAAAAACAAACAAACAAGGACTGTAATAAGACACAAAGAAGAACATCATATAAAGGGATCAATCCAATAAGAGAATACAATAACTGTAAATACATATGCACCCAACACAGAAGCACCTAAATATATAAAGCAAATATTAACAGACACAAAGGGAGAAACTGATCATAATACTATAATTTGATAATTATAATTACATTTTAATTACAATTTAACACCCCTTACATCAACAGGTTATCCAGTCAGAAAATCAATAAGGAAACGCCAGCCTTAACAGACTTAGCCATATGGATTCAGCAGATAACTACAGATCATTCCATCCAAAAACACTACCAAAAGCATTCCTGTCAAGTGTATGTAGAATATTCTCTAGGACAGGTTACACATTAGGCCAGAAAACAAGTCTCAATAAATTTAGTTAAGAATGAAATTATATAAAACATCTTTTCTGAGCACAATGGTATGAAACAGGAAATCAATCACAAGAAAAAAAAAAAAGGAAAAAACCATAAACATTTGGAGACTAAACAACATCTGGAGACTAAACAACATAATGAGTTAACAAAGAAATCAAAGAGATAACAAAAAACTACATGGAGGCAAATGAGAATGTTAACAGTGTTCTAAAAATCTTTGGGACAGAGAAAAGCAGTTTGAAGAAGAAAGTTTAGAGCAATACAGGTCTACCTCTAGATACAAGAAAAATCTCAAGTTAAGAATTGAATGTTACATTTAAAAGAACTAGAAAAAGAACAAAGCCTAAAGCCAGTACAAGGGAGGAAGAAGTAAAGATCAGAATGAAAACAAATGAGAGATTTAGAAAAAAACAAAAACAAAAACAAAAACCAACAATAGAAAAGGCATCAATGAAACTAAGAGCTGGTTGTTTGAAAAGATAAACAAATTCGATAAACCTTTAGAGAGATTCATCAAGATAAAAAGAGGACTCAAAATCAGAAATAAAAGAAAAGAGAAGGGCGGAGACAAAATGGCGGGGAAGTAGGAGGAGGTGCCCTTTCAACCTGTACTCTAAAGTGAGCTGATTACCTACCAAAGAACTCCGATCACCCATGAAATCAGCCTGAGATCAGAATTATACACTTCTGGATCTCTACAGGGGCAGAAGAGCAGTGGGCTGGTAAAGCGGAGTGGGAACGTCGGACTGATATTGGATGATAAACAAAAGGGGGAGGGAGCCACCAGAGGCGACCTATTGGAAAATAATACCCCTAATACGAGAGTGCCCTGCATCTGGGGACCAGCATTAACTTGGAGACTGGTTGAAAGCACTCAGAAAGAGCAAAGGATTGCAAGGGGTGGGGGATTGCGGGAATCAGGGGCAGCTAGGGACAGGGGCTTAAGTGCCCGGACCCAGGAGAGCCTCACCTGGCGCTGAGCCAGAGAGTGTGCTGGAGAAACCAGGTCTTGGTCCCTGAGCCGTCAGCGCGCCTGAGAATGCATGGGGTCCAGCTCCTGTGAGGGGCTGGGAGACTCGCCAGCCTGCAGAACGCTGAGCCGAGCTACAGAGCCTGAGACGCGTGTGCCCCTCACCCTCCCCTGAGAGAGGTGCGCGAAGGCCCAGTCTGGTGCTCTCGGACGCGAGCCCTGCTCTCAAGAGCCTGAGACGCACGCGGGCGACCCATAGCCTCCCCTGAGAGAGGTGCGCATGAGCCCGGTGCTCTTAGACCCAGAAACACCAGGCACTCCCAGCACAGGCCAGCGGGAAAATCTCAGTGTGTGATCCCTGCTTGGAACTTCTGGCAGTCAGGAGCTGACCAGACAGCCACCGCTACCATGGTTTGGGGTACAAGCAGAAGGTCCTGCATCCCCAGGGACCGCGACTGGGAACCTACTCTGCCAGCAGCCAAGGGGGAATTTATATGGGCTCTGCAATACCCACAGGGCACCAGACTGAGGCATCTCTCTGAGAGGGGGGTCAGGGTGCAGTTTGCTTTCCT